ATGTCAAGCATTATCAGGGTTTTCACAACATCTTACCACTTTGAATAGCTCAAAGAGATCTATTTCACTGAGATTCAAATCCCTATTGACAGGGTGATTAACTCTGTGATCAGATGTCTAAAATTGAAGCAGAGATATGACAGACAGGAACTCAAACAGGGCAGAGAATGTAAGAAAATATGTTCATTGACATCATCACTCACACTTGGCAGACCTCTTATGACATCTGTTTGATCATCAATGGTTGATCGTAACATACATATATGAAAGCCATCAATTTGCTGATTGTACTGTAGCAATCAGTGACTGATAAACACATCATAAGACAACCTCCCTGTGCTCTAGATATGTCAGGCGCACACCTAAATAATGAAACCATATGCCTGAGCCCAAGGGGCATTCATATGCAACTTAACTGTTCTGACACCACGTTGGCATGCCTATGCACCCTCTAAAATGTGATTTTACATGTGACACCATCATAACTGTTCATGACACCAATCAGCAATAGCATCTGCTGAAATGGAGTGACTACTTGCAATGAATGCTGCTAGATATATGACTGACTCACTTGTGCATTCACTACAATCATGTAATTCATTATGGATAATACTTGTCAGCTACCATGCACCCAACAGCATCACAGGCACAGATTATAAAATGGACTGAGGACCAAAATTGTGCAATAATCAAAACAGAGGTTAGAGAACATATAAGCGGTGAGGAGTGAGAAATGATTACCAAAGCAATGTTCTAGCCATAGGCAAGGCATTTGAACTCACAATTCTGTGGACCCATGTAGATTAAATGATGGATGATGGGCTCAATAGTTGTTGGTACGTAGATGGTACCATGTCTGTAGGGAAGCCTGGATATGTAAGTTCAATCATTGTGAAGGTCATGAAGAAGAATAGTGGGGTTATCAAGGCATGCACAAGTCATCCAGAGTGGGAGATATGTAAGATTGAATGTCTGGAGCTGAGGAGGTAGTGTTACAGATGTGACAGTACTAGACATGTTGCCTGCTTGCTCTGAGATTTCAAACTGAAGGGATTGTATTGCCAGACATGGCCCGCTTCCCAGCAAGTCTAGTGACTGATATGTGCTCATTGGGAGTCACATGATGAAAGCCACCAGTTGCCATATTGGGCACCACTGGAAGGTGTTTCATGGGCCCTCACCCCAGGACAGAGCAGCCAGCCACAGCATTTATTTGTATCTGTTGGTGCAAGTCGTGTCGTCTGGGAGTTTCAAATTTTAGGTCCCGCTAATAGGACATTAGTATCAGTTACTTATCTTTGCTTATCTGGGCCTCAAAAAGTCACGTGGACTCCTTCCATATCGGGCGTCACTGTAAGGCGTTTCATGCCCTCCAGTCATAAGAACGATTCCTTCGTACCTCAGGGATCGTAATCTGTTTATGCCCTTTGATATGGATTGGAAGAAAGTGAACAGAAAGAAGGCTGGGAGGCAACACAGTAGCAGTCATACGCACCACAGCAGGCTATTGGCAGAAAGGTACAATATAACTGTTGTTGTTGGCATGCAAGTGGTACACCCGTACATGCATATGTGTCTTCCTCTGTGCTCTCAGTATCTTACAGTCCCAGGGGGTATGTCTTGAAGCCAGAGTCTACCATGAGTGCAATGGGATGTTCCATGCACCCATGCAGTTGGCATTTTCAGCTTTTCCCAAACAAGCAGTTTTGGAGGGGTTCACTTTCCACTACAAGGTGGATGCCTACCCATTGGACACCATCTACCCTCATCTCAGCCAAGAGATGAAGCAGTTCTTCACCAAGTACAGCATCACCATTCCTGACACCCCCAGTGTTTGTGACCTGATTGAGGCAGCACCTCCACATCTGTTCAATATCCTAGTCTGTGTACAATGAGGCCATGCCCACAAACTGTCTGTCCTGCAAATCTGTACTGATGACTATGTGACCAAGAACACCATGTACACAGCACCACAAGAGTTCACAGTGAAATTGTTGTATTCATAGGTGAGTCAAAACACATGTCAATTGAGGCAGAGGACAAGAGATGATGTGAAGTGTCCAGGCATGAGGTTCCAGAAGATTGATACCTGCATAAACATCCTACAACCCCTAAAAATGCTTCATTGCCAACATCAATTATTGAAGTCATGACAGCAGGCCTCAAGGTGATAGAGACACCTTCATCATCTGAACATAGCATTCAGAAGTCATGTGGGCATGGATTGATGATGATCTTGCCCACCCACCACCACATGGCATGGACTCCATTGCCATGTCCTTTGCCACTGTTCAGGATGACATCAACAAGGCACAATATGCAGGTTGTATAAGGACTTACATGCAAATCACTGGGTTACTTGTCATGATTGAATTGACGTTGAGGTTCTCAATGGCAACACCTTCAGCATTGGGTAGCTGTGCTCTATTCCCAAGGGCAACAAGACACTGTCAGAGTGCAGCTGAAACTGCTTGGACAGTCCATGCATGTACAGAGACATTGCCATGGCTTGTCATTGCAGCATATGTATCACGTGGTCTCACTATGGTGGCCGAGGCTGGGGAACCTAACTCCGACCCCGAGTGATAGTAGCCGATCACCCAACGACGTAGTGACAACGCGGTGAAGTCAAATCACTGCATCATTTGTGGTGATTCTCACCCCGTTACAAAGACCCATGTCCAGGGTGATAGTCACCATCAAGTTCACGTCCATGACATGTGACGTGCGACTGCACGGACTACAATGATTCTCACCCACTCGAGTAGTCCAAAATACTGTGTATGTGGTACTTATTGATATCACAACGTGAACAAAGATAGTATCATCATTGATGACGGGATCCATGTACACAGTACAGCTCGTAACAAGCTTCTACTCAAATTAACTCAATGGGGCAAACTAACCATCAATTATCTTCCTCATACATAGCACGAGCAAGGCTCCCACTTCGGTCAACAATGGCCCATTGACCTCAGTCCAAGATGCGGCCCGCAAGGCATTGAATGTTCTTGACATCAATGACCTCATATCGACCTGTGTTACTGTAATAATGGATGTCAAGACCGCCTGGTGCTGCACGGCTGTCAAGAGTGCAGGTACAAATACCTGCCAGTACGACCTGTTCAGGCTGCACAATGTTCAACAAGGGTGATGCCGGCATTTCGACGACAAAAATGTCTTGCAGCTCGCCATAGAACGTCTGCAGTTTGAGGATGGTAGGCCGATTGCAGTACGACACATTGCAGTCAACGAGGCTTTCGTACTGATCAGGAAACATGTTAGCTCAAACTTGCAAAAATGTTCAGAATATATTGTACATACCCAGACATATGACGCATTCCTAGAATCCTCACGCATACCTCCGAGCGTTGCGGTGCAAATGAGATCGCCACCACCCAAGATCTGCACTCTTCAAGTTCCCCAGCGAGCGATCTCATTGGGGACGAGGAGCCGTACGGAGGGTCCGGGAATGTCATACCGGGTTGCTAACGCGCCTATAATCTTGTCTCGCAGGCTGTCGGCAAGCCTCTCCGGGGCACGACTGGGTGGCAGCAACACACATGTATCATCTGTGCCATCGGTGATAGACATGGCAGTGAGGGTACAATTAGTATTGTTTATTTTAGTGATCAAATGTCAGACGCTTACAGCCAGGTATGGACGTAGAGATGTCCTGAAGAGGCAGTCGCAGGCTGAGGATCTCAGTGGCATTATATACCACTTTGAGCTGAGCAAGGTGTGCAATGTCGACAACATAGTGGTCAAGTGCAGCAAACGGGAAGCGGTGGCTGCGGATGGCAGGCTTCAGCATCCCACAGTACCGCTCCATTGGAAAAGCCCAGGACGCCCACACTGGCCCTGACAAGACTATGCTGTCTGCCACATGGAGTAGGGCGTGTATTGTCAACGGACAGGCGGCAAGGCACGCGGGATTGTTTTGGTAATAGATGCTGTGATTCTGTCCAACTGACGTGAGCCTTTGACAGCGAAGGATCGAGCTGCCCTAGCACTCACGCTTCGTATTCCACAACCCATGTGGCCAGGCCGGTCCGTATTGAATCGATCTCTGCCTTCGTGAGCTCGAATTGTAGACATAGATGCAGAATTTTGACGAGTTTGATGAAGTGATTATAGTACCTGTCACGCCGGAGATGCCCCCAAAGTACAATGGGCGCGATGTAGAGGGCCCAGAATGACCAGCTGTCAGCACTGCATGCACTCCTGTCGGTCGCAATATTTGGTGGACATTGACCATATACAGAGGGGATTGTAGAGCCCGCGGCTGCCGTCGCCTCGCCTATGGCAGTCCATGCTTCAGGGTCTAGCTCATAGTCCTCGGTACCGCTATCAAGGCCCTTGTACTTGCCTGTCCAAAGCGACACCAGGTTCTTGACGACGTTCTCCCAGATCAGATGCATGAAATTGTACGGAAATGAGTCTGGGAAGCTCAGCAAAGACAGACATGACAGGAGCGGTAGGCCCTTGATGCTGTATGCTTTTGCTAGCCGCTCCGGCACCGCATCTGAATTCGCCATTTGCACTTCCTGTGCTTGCACAAGGAACATCTTGTGATCTCGGTTCGGTAGCTGTACTGGATCGTAGCGGGGCAGCTCGTTTGCACTGGTGACATTGGGGTGGTTCAGCGGGACGTAATAGGGACTGCGAGGCTTGTTTGGGATGTGTACGCCAATCACATTGCACATGCGACAAGGACACTTGCCATTGTGGCCCTTCATGCGCATGACCATTGACATCGCGGGAATGTCACCGAAGACGAGGATGAGGTAAGCACGTAAAAGGAACACACTTCTTGTCAGGATGTCAAAGGTACGCGCTCCGATGGCGAGTTCAAGCATCTCCATGACAAGCGGCCACAAGAACGAGTCAAAGTCCACCGGTTTCTTGGGACCCGGGACGACACCGAATGGCAGCCAGGCAGGCTTGTTGAATCGGACTTCAGGAGGGAGGTTATAGTTGAAGCCGAGGAGTGGCCAACAGGTCTTGTTGCGGCGGCGGAATGGGCCAAAGCCGTCTGTTGAGAGACCAAGAGCAACATCACGTGGATTGGAGAAGTGCTTGTGATGGAGCGTCTTGTCGTGGATCTGTATGTGCTGATTGAGTTTTGAGTGGTATGCCGTGCTGTTGTAGACGTCGGTGACTTTGTCAGGGTCATGCTGGTGCTGCAATCGATGTTTCATCTGCGTCGCCATTTGAGTATTGCCTGCAAATGCTTGGAGGCGTGGGGTAAGCAGGATGTACAAGAACTGTTTCTGTGGCTTCCCATTGCTGCTCCGACGTTGTTTGTTGCAGTACGGACATGCATCAAGACCAGCATGTGGCCCGACAAAGCAGCAGCACGAGTTGATGCAACAGTCATACTTGACAGGTGTGACACCAGAAAGGAATGTGACGCGTGAGCGAAGTCGGTCTGTAGATGGCATAGATGAACCCGGGAAGGCGTACGGGAGCTTCTTCAGGGTCCGTTGCGTAAGGCGTTCATCTGTCTTGAGTGCAAACACACGGAGTGTGGCCTTGTCCGATTCACTGAGTGATTCGTCTAGACGCAAGCCTCAGCACCAGGCACATGGACTCAAGGCGGCATGACGTACATGTGGGTCTGTTCTCTGCCTCAAACTTGACCCCTAATTGGTCCCGGCCACTCAATCCATCATGGTCCTTGCTGCTGTCATCCGTAGCATTGGCGGCAGACATGATCTCATCAACATACTCATTCCAGAACTCGTCGTCATACTCCTCGGCATCGTCATCAAGCTGGGAGGCCTCGGATGTGTTTGGTGGTGCACGGGCGGGCCCATGGCCAGCGCTCTCTTGCAGGTATGGTTCGTCTTCTTCATCTGATGGCACATCCTCGACAGTTGTCTTCGTCATTTAAGAAGGGTTAATTATAGTTCATTAGTGAACCTAATCAGGATTAAATTGAGTTCCTCAAGAACTATGATCAGGTATTCATTCCGTTAATCATGGGCTTAGGGTGGTATGATTACCTCCATTAATCCATGTTGGCATGAAACCATATTATGATCCCAAATGAAGTCACTAGCCCTGACACAAAGGGCTAATTCTCTGCAAATCCCAGTCAATTTACACTGAATCATGGCATAATCCCAGTCATGATCATCCTTAACCAATTCATGACTCTTAATCCGAGGGATTGATTGGTTGCTAATCTCAGGTTGATCAGGATTAGACTGCATCATGGGAGGGTGCTAGAAATGTGTCTAAGTCCAGCAATTGAAGAACATGACATAGATCAATAACATCTCAGACATAACAAGACAGTATGGTGCAGTGGTTACAGTGTATGCTTCTTTGCCCAATAAGGTGATTATGTAATGCTTCAAAAAGTCGCTGGTTCAGTCCTGGCTTCTGCACAACATTGTTTTTTAAATTGATCTGATCACTGTGATTTGTTCTGCAGATCATTGGGCTAATCAGCACTAATCTGACATCAATATATCAGGATCAGCAGCCAGGATTAGCATTGAATTAATGATTACATTCATGATGCCTGCCATAGATTAGCTCTGAGATTAGGGCTTGACAATGACTGGTTAGGATTGTACATATGTCATGATTATGCCCATTTCAGCAGGATTAACACTGAGGTTATGCCATGATTATGATATCCAAATAATGGGATTATGTTAGGATTAAGAGTCATGAATTGGTTAAGCATGATCATGACTGGGATTATGCCATGATTCAGTGTAAATTGACTGGGATTTGCAGAGAATTAGCCCTTTGTGTCAGGGCTAGTGACTTCATTTGGGATCATAATATGGTTTCATGCCAACATGGATTAATGGCAGTAATCATACCACCCTAAGCCCATGATTAACGGAATGAATACCTGATCATAGTTCTTGAGGAACTCAATTTAATCCTGATTAGGTTCACTAATGAACTATAATTAACCCTTCTTAAATGACGAAGACAACTGTCGCTCGTTGCGGGCGCCCACCACCGCTCCAGGTACGTGCACTAGCCTCAGCAGCTGCACGCCGAAGCTCAGCTACAGCATCATCACCTATAGCTTCATGTACATCAACATCAAGATGGTGCTCTGACTAGTCAATGTGCTCACCAGTTGTACTATGTCCAACTTCCAAGGCTTCTTGTGGCTCAACGCCCACTTCCTCCATTGCGACATCAGAATTGCCGGTGCCGGTTCCCTCAGAATGCAGTGCTAATGCGGGGAAGCATCATTGGGATATGAGCAAATGAACTGTCTGCAAGGATGTTCAGGGTACGTACCAAGTCCTCCCCCTTGAGCAATTGTACTCGGCCCTGGGCCTGCCACTGCATTACTCCTCTTGTGCCGTGTTTGCGTACTGTTCTGTGTTTGTACAGCAGGCCCCAAGGGCTGTACAACACTCTTCTTATACACATAGGTCGCCCGCACATGCGGTTTCGCCTGACCTTTCAGGTGACGCTGTTCGGTCCTGGGATGCACAGGCTGGCCACAGCAACAACACGGAATCTTCTACCCAGCCATGGATTGTCAAGAGGACACTTCAGGAGGAGAGATTTGTGAGGTCAAGAGGATGGGCTGGTGCTCAAGAGTTCAGCGGAGTTACGAGTAAGGCAATTAGCGATTGTCTTTGCCGTGGCACGATCACCCTCGCTCAGTCAGCAATTAGTGACAGCAAACTGAAACAAACACGGTTATGCCTTATATATGACAACACCTGTGCGACGGTGTGTGCTCCAAAATCAATCCCCTCGACGTTGCTGGCAACGTTGGCCCTTACCTTTCATCTTTGCACTCGCACCCTATCATTGTGGTTGTTCAGCTGCGCATCACAGAGCTAAGACAAGAAGAAATATGCCCACCAAAGCCCAGCTTGAAGCCGAGCTCACTCGCATCAAGGAGAGTGCAGCTGAAGCCGAAAGTGAGTCATCCTCACTAATTTGCTATTTCTCTGCACTGACGATGCGCAGGCCGAGCCACAAACAAGCAGGCACTGCGGGTTGCCGCAGAAGAGCTCGCAGCCGCCAAGGTCAATGAGCTCAATGCCGCCCAAGAGGAAGCAGCAACAGCTGCTCAGCTGGCCGCCGTGGCAAGCACGGCAGCGACCAACCAGGCACCTGTGGCACCGCAGCCTCCCGCAAACAATGCACTGATCCCAAAGCCATGCGGAATGCTGGGGACAGGGAAGGGATACACCGTGCAACGTGCGATGGGGCTCGCAGATGACGACACAAAGTACTTGTTGTGTATTGTCAGTAACATCCCCCAGTGCGACACGATGTATGCACTCACCAGATCCGATCAATCAGCGCGTTGTTCACGAAGTCACTATGGCCTTGAAGATCAACTGGCAGAAGGACTATGCACATCAAGACCCCCTAGTCCTTTGTCGTCTCTTCCGTGCGGTGCGTCATTCACTGACATCTCGATCTACCCACCGGCGGTCAGTCTAACAACACCTAACTTAGGCCCAGGAGGCAGAGCCGTACCTTGCCCGTTTTCAGGCTAGCTGGGCGACAGCAGATCTCTTGAAGCAGTTCTTGTGGAACCACCGCAAGAACACGGTCAAGAAGGGGTACATCCCTCGCCGTGCTGAACGTCTTCAGGGCGGTGGCAGTACTGGCAATGGCAGCGCGGCACCAGCTGTGCAGGCCAATGGTGGTCCCGACATGGAGTGGAGGGACATGGACTAGGTGCAGACCGAGGTATTCTTCATTGTAGCTCAGACGTGGTGGTAGTGACCCGTGAGAGAGGTCGCCGCTCGTTTGCTTGAAGGCGTGTGTACGCGCCATACGCTCCTTACGCCTTCGAACTGTTCAAACTCATTTCCCCATTTGGAACTGCAGTGTTTGCCAGGTCGACCGCGCGCTATATGTGTTGTCTCGTTATAATACATGCTGGCTGTTTCTCTAATCCATGAATTCACCGAAGCTAGAAACCCCGCAATGTTCACCATTTGGGATAGGGATACTCACTGTCATCCTGATTGTCTAATCACTACAACTTAGGCTATATATGACTATGTACACAGTTGACATTCACTGATCAAGATCACTACACAGCTTGGTGAAAAGTCGTCAGAAAGACCTGAGTGAATCTGGACATAAAAGCGGTGAAACTCACTCATTCTAGCCACCCGCAGACTGGTCGATAAGCAGCTAGAACTCGGTGAAAATAACCCATTACTGTAGGAATATGTACTCAACACTGCGGTTCCTCACTGAGTTCAATTCACCAGGTGCTGCTGCCATAGTGTCTGTCCATGCCTCCAGCAACAGATGTTATTGGTCCCACAGTACCAGCTCAAAAGGGCACTGGAATTTAATGAGGTAAGGGAGCAGTGGGTGGGTTGGAGTAGCTTTTTCAGGGGAAAACAACTGATGATGGCCATTGGTGGAGAGCATAGGACAATTGGCAACTGAGACTGAAAATGCATTGACAGAGTCAGGTATATTGTGGGTGTTGTTATGGGCAGTGTGACTGGATGGAGTGGGTCAGCAGAGTCCTGGTCAACTGACAACTACAAAGAGTGATGGGGATGCTATTATTTGGAGCGGGGAAAGTTGTTAGGGCCAAGCAGGGGAGGAATGCAATCCAGGATATTAGGAAGTGCAGCAGACGTGAATGCAATGTCAGTAATCCTGGCATTCAACAGGCTCTTGACCTTCATAAAGATGTCCCATGTAGTACCCATTCCACTGTATAGTGAATTGCACGGGTAGACCCCCGGGTGTGTGGGGGCCTACCCGTACCCATACCCGCAGGGGTCAGGTACCCCCTCGGCGGGTACGGGTTGTCCGTGGGTCCCGCGGGTCTCCGCGGGTGTAGGTATTGGTGACAGGTCGGGCAGGTGAGGAGGGCCAAGTTGAGGGGATGGGGGTGCGAGCGTGCAAGTACACGGGTGCACAGGCGATTGTGCGCGCATGCGGCTGTGTGCACAGGTGGGCTGGTGGGCAAGCGAGGGGCAAGCGAACGCGCAGCTGGTGAGGATGCGAGTGAAGGGATCGTGCGACCGGGCTGGCGTGCATGCATACGTGCGTGCGAGCGTATGTGTGGGTGGATGAGTTAGTGGACTGGCATGAGTGGGCGAGCCTGGCTTACCGCGGGATGCCTTTCTGGGGAGTTGAACTGGTGTGCTCAGCGCAGGCACCGGTGCATTCTCGTCAGCGGGAACCAGGTGGTTGCGAGACGCGCAAAAGGGTTGCGCAGGCTCGCAGCCAGCTTCATGGCTGCATGGCGGTGGATCTTGACACGCTGCAAGGCCGTCTGGGCGTGGCGAGGCCGCTGGAGAAAGGGCGTGATGTGATACGTGTGCGTCATGTGCATCGGGGCTGCACTTGAACGAAGGTGGGCAGATATGCGCAAACACGTAGGATGGGGACAGAGGAGTGGATTCGTGGGAGGGTACTCACCTACGGCATCTGCTCACCGCCAGTCCGCCCTCTCTCAACCTTGCCCCTACCCATCCCGCCGTGTTTGCTTGCGCTCAACCTTGCACGTGTGGCATTCATTTGTCGGCTGTGCTTGCATGCTGGGCATTGGCCCTGCCTGCTGGTGGTAGGCGTGTGTTTTGCCTGCGCGGGCAGCTTAGAGCTGCTTCGCTCGCATTTGAGACGCAAGCAGGCCAGTAGCCGGCTGGTGTTCACTCGGGTTTGTGGCGCAGTCTCGCACCGGTTCTTTGCGCATCGCGTTGTTTGTCCTTCTCCACATTGAGTGCAAGAATGGTGGTGTTTGCGTCAGCAAGGGCTGGGCAGCAGCGAGATGCATGGCTGGATGTGTCAATTGGTCATCCAGGCACAGGGGAGGGGGAGGGGAGGATCGATGCAAGAGTGGAGAGACTCAAGTTGTGTACTCAATGTGTTCGGGCGCTCGCGCAATGGTGCAGTTCCCACGGGAATTCGAACCAATGCGTCTGACACGAAGTGAGTCGCACCGGAGCGACGGGTACTAGTGGTGGGTCCGCGGGTCCAGATTTGGCTACCCGTACCCCTACCTGGCGGTACCCGTACCTGTGACCCTCGCGGGTTGCCCGTACCCCTGCAATGCACTAATTCCACAAGGCCTAAAACATGGCACCAATGCTCCACTCCATCCATGACTTGCACAAACACAGAGAATTTGATATCATACATTATGAAGGACATGGACTTATCAACAAGTGATGTGTTCCTCTCTGCTATGTCAAGGCACATTCTAACATATACATTAGCACTAGCTCCAGAACATCCAAGGCCCTCCAGGACAGGCCTGCACTCTGATGCATGTCAACAACACTCTGGCCATGCACAGTGTTTGGTGCCAGTGCAACTATAAATGATGTATATCAGTACTCAAGGATGGCCTAAACCTGACACAAATGGTGGAACACCAATCCTCAGCCTTTGTGACAATGTAATGACCAATGATGGCCATCATGCTGCCCCTGACAATGTCATCAGAGTGCTCTACTCAGGCCACTGGAATTCATCTCCTATGGATGCCATCAAAAACCTCCAGACAATCTCCACACTTGAGCAGAGTTCAGCCCTCAACTCTGACATTGACTATGCCTCTGAGGAGGCCTTCATCCTGGCTGCACTCTGATGCTGGCTCTTGGTTGGCATAGAGACTGAGCACACTATTGCATTTGTGAAGTTTGCAATGGCATCATATTTCCTATTCTTGCCTCCCTTTGATCATATAGCAGTATGTACACTGTTGCTTGTTGCCTACAACTTACTGATGCAATGTCACAGATTGCATTCCAACTGTCATTTGGTGGACATTCAGTTAGTAGTATCTGCTCCCTACTCAATTACAGTGCTCATCAATCATGGAATACAGATCATGGTCTGTGCACATGCTTGCTTCAGCAAGGTTGATGTGCTAGTCAATTTGGGTATGGTTGAACTGCCGGACAACAACAACCTCCATGAAGACATCACCATCAAGACCACTTTAGACGGTCTGATGGACAGCATATGTCAATCTGCACATGAACTGTCTGACACTTTTCAAGAAGACTAATTGTATGTGTGAACAGCATGTACCTGCATGCATTGTCATTCACAATTATGTGCAGATCTCATCATGATACTGCACTCATTTGCTGCTCTCAACTGTATCATTGATCTGCCATATTGATCTGCCATGTGGCACTGCTTCAATAGTTTTATGCAATTCTGTATTCTATCAAAGACCAGTTGCTCATACCTGAAAACATCACAGCTGTTGTATTTGTAGCATGTCCCCAAACAGATGCCTTAATTGTATACATTACTGACATCCACAATATAATCTTACAAGTTTGTTCTGGATCTCCAGAACACATCAATGCATGTACTGTATCTCTTCCCTGCTTCAACATACCCACTCTGTAGTGTACTCTGGCTCCAGATGTTAGAAGCAAACATCCAATTCTAATAGATATTAGACTAACATGTCTTCAACATACTACATGCATAGGCTTTGGAGGCAATCATGTGCACCTTGACTCTTCTGACACCATATTGTGAAGCTTACATGCCCTCTGAACTGGAAAATCACTAAGTCAATGACCATTCATGACATCACTTAGCAGTAACATCTGCTAAGCCAGTACTGAATTGGAGTCACTAATTGCATAGAAACCTGATAGATACATACCTGACTGTAATGCCACCACAGACATACAATCATACATTCACCTAGTCTAGATTCTGAATTTATTGTGTATGTGTCGATAACCTCACTGATCTTGCTTGCACCCTGTACATCAATCATTGGACTTACAAATCCACACATGTCTACAAACATAGTCCCAACAAATACTGGGTTCATGATCTACCATTCAAGATACATGTGTACACATAATTGTGAGTCTGAATGCCTTGCCCAAGGCTAGGACATTGCTCTGGTAGTTACATATCTCACACTCCTTGATGTCACTATGATTGTACAAAGTCTGGCCATCTGTCTGATTTTGTGATCTGCACCTACTTGATACCGCCAGGCAGCTCTCATAGCTATATTCTGGGACTTGGCATAGTGATTTCCTTCCCTAGCATAGCTTTGCACTGCTGTGAACAGTTTGTTGAATGCCGTGTTAAGTCTTACATCAAACTTCTATTGTGTGGCTTCAACTCTGAACAGACCATTCCTTTGGCATGAGCTTCTTCAAACAATTCATCTGTGTTTGGGATTCATCATTCTCTACTATGATCCACATAAATCCTGATAATAATCATACTTCATTACCAACTTAAGGCTGTTGTTTCCTGGCTGAATGGCAGTACTGCAACACTTGCACAGCAGTAGTGCTACATAAAGGACCTCAGGAAGTCAAGGAGTCTTGCAGAATTGTAAGTACTTGTCCTTGACTCATTTACACCACTTCCCAAGGCCATTCTTTAAGAACAATAGCAACATAACCTCCCATGACTGTTAACAATGAGGCAAACTATGTTACAAAGTCATCCTATTACAGCCTCTGTTTCATTACTGTGAGTAGCAAGGGATTGGCAAGGCATGTGAGGATACACATTTTCTGTGTACAGCCTGAGGATAGCACAGTCATTCAACATTGGTTTGACAACAGCTTGATAACCTGATAACCAACACAGCATTTCCTTTGTATACCACTACCAAACCATTATAACTCAGTAACTGGCTGGTAATGACCGTCACTTACCAAGCATACAATAGCCCTTGTATCAGTACTGAAGCCATCTGGCCATCACAAGTAAGAACACAATAGAAACTCAATGATAGTACAGGTGATAGTTCAGATAGTAGATACAGTGATAAGCACTTTAATAGTAATGAAACATTGGTAATCAAATCCCTCAGTAATAGTACAATGAAAGTGTTACAGTAATGTCTGTTCAATGGTCAAAAAGGAAGATAATAAAAGACAAAATGCATATCATTAACCATCAGTGATGCAGCCACTCAGTAAGAGTACCTATCTCAGTTTCTATCAGCCCTGAGGCTATTGAGTATCTATCCCTAACACATTTGTTTCAGGAATGCAGTCATTAACCCACTGGTGGGTCAGTATTGTCTGATGGGCCAGCTTCCCAATCCGGTGACACCACACCACATTAGGCAACTGACGCTCCATGCAATCTGGCCGTGCGCGTGCAGGATGCACTGTTCAACTGGACCTCAGCTCAATGGATGTATGCAGTTTATTGTGTACTTTATTCCAGAAAAATCATATCTCAACATTGGCCTCACTATGAGACAGTAAAATAGGCCTTACAGAGCGGTAACACTCCGGTTGTCACCCCGCCCAAGGGTACAGCAACACAGGCACTCGGCGCGACTATTGACTCTCACCTTTATATCTGCCTCACGGACATGCAGCTATGGTCAACATTGCTGTTCCTCAGCATTCTTGGCTACACAAGACAGCTCAGCAACACTCAGGCTGACTCCTTCTGATGACCAGTCTTCGAGTTCAGACGCGAATGAATCTGAATAGATTGTATTGTTATTCTGTATATATTGTATGCTACTTCATACTGTATCAACATCCTACAGTTGTGAGGTCCATGTGTCCGCAATGGACCGAGGTCATCCGACTGCATGCGCGTGGCCAGATTGCATGGAGTGTCAGTTGCCTAATGTGGTGTGGCATTGCCGGATTGGGAAGGTGGCCCATCAGACAATACTGACCCACCGGTGGGTTAATGACTGTGGGTTTTTGTGACTTCTCCTACTGTGCCAGTGCTGTCATTAGATCTCTACACAATAGACAAGATTACAATATTGAGTGATGGCAGAATATCATGAAAGCTGCTGATGTCAGGCACAATGGTACAAAGTAAACAATGCTGAGTATCCCTTTATGTGGACACCTTTGGATACAGACATAGGTTGCACATAATGAAAAATTGTGCAGATACCTTCTGGTAGTACTAATCCAGTATTGATCCATCATGCAAGTATGCTCTATTTGGCCTTATATCATAGCACAGATAGACACTGAAATCCCTTCAATGAGGTTAGTGAGCCATCGATCAATTTCAATTGGATGTCACAGATGTAATTTCATCATGAAAGCCACAACTAGTGAGGGCTGCATGAAGTTGTTGAAACATGTCAATATGGGTAAAGATCAACTAGCAAACCACTGACTTAACCCAGGGAAATGCTTCTGCCCCACATAGTAGCTAGATACTTGGATGGAATGTACATGAGCATGTTATATGGTTATATGAATAGCATCAGTTGAAAATTGCATCAGTGGGAGAGGAAACAAATCCATTCGGGATTTCTCATGCTTGTTCAAAGGTGTTTAACCTGATCATCCAGGAGGGATTGTTGGACGGAGAGCTTGTGGTAAGACTCAAGGAAGTTGTGGATGGAGTAGCAGTCAGCCACCTTCCTCTCGAGGGAGTAGGTATTGCGGTTGTGGTGTGCAATGAGCTCCCAGGCCTCAAGTAGTGCATTGCAGGGTATGGCCTACCCGCAAGGGTCACGGGTAGGGGTACTGCCGGGTAGGGGTATGGGTAGCCCAATCCGGACCCATGGACCCGCCACCAGTACCCGCCACCGGTGCGGCTCACTCTGTTGAGGTCGCACCGCGATCTCGATCTCTGCCACTGGGCATGTGACGTACCGCCGGCGGTGGTTCATCCGCTTGTCTCGTCTCTCTCTCTTTCCTCAGTCGAAGTTGTACCTTGACTGAGGTGAGATCTACATTACTATACTACAGTCTAGTATCTGACTACCTACGTAGCGTCTGACCGTAACGTCTAGGTAGATCAATCACAGTCGAAGTTGTACCTTGACTGAGCGTCTGACCATAACGTTTAGTCCTAACAGGTTATGAGCCCTGGGCAGTTTTTCTGAACCCGCCCAGTTACCTGAGACTGTCTTTCGGCTTTTCAGACCTCAGTACAACTCAGAAGCACCCAATAACGCGTGCAAAACCCCGCATATAGTCACTCATAATGACCAAAACTCCGACCTCGAGTCCTAGCAAGTCAAAGCCCCGCTCGGATCTATCTCCAGCAGCACCAACCATGGATCCGAAGATCCAGATTACGCAGAAGATCGAGCCGGCTAGTCTACCGTCGTCGCTTTACAACGGTGGTGTCCCTCTCAACCGCACCAAGAATAATTGGTTCGATTGGAAGATGTACGTCAAACAGTCGTTGAAGATGTGCCGTATGTGGTCGTACCTCTCCGGTGAAGTCATCTCCCCACCCATCGAGGACGACCCCGTCTCGGCCATGAATTTCAAGCTCAACGAGCAAATCGTCATTGCGTTCCTCACGTCGAAGGCCACTAAGGAGGAACAGTGCTTCATGGTGAAGTTCTCGAGTGCCAGGGCTCTCTGGCTTGGTCTGTGCGAGCGTCACGAGAAGGAACCCGGTGCGTATGCCCAAGTTCGACTTCTCCAGGACTTCTTCGCTTGTTGCTACACCACCAACGAGCGCTTCGCTGACACGACCATGCGCCTCCAGGAGCTAGCCAAGAGGATCTTCCACATCGGTCTACCCACTATCGACAACCTCATGATCATTGGGATGATCAACGCGATGAACGGCCACCTCAATTACCTGCAGTCCCAGGTCGGCACGTCTCTCTCGACGGCTGCGACGACCGGCGTTCCG